AAGAATCTTCTGTATGCCACATCATCGTTGTATTCCTTAGATGGAGAAATTACAATATGGACCTCATAAACATAGTAAAAGTGCTATATAAATTATACTGCTTTTAGCTACTTTAATGTTATAATATTTTGATTAAGTAGAACTACCCTGTACAGGCTTCCAGTTCATTATGTTGGTAGGAGCAGAGTTCTAGATCTTGATCTTGTGGAGCCATTGGGTGGATTGCAAACACCAGCCTTTCATTTCATAGTTGAGCTCTTAACTGTTGCATCACCAGAGCTTCTTAACAACTTTAGTAGCAATATAATTTAGATTCCAAACATCAGTTCAATGAGGGCAAGAAGGACAGAAAATTTCCATGTGCTACTCTTGCTCCTACATCTCCAAGAATCGTTAGATAATGTAGCAGACTTCTGAAAAACTTCCCCAGGCGTTTCACAATGTCTCTCCTGCCTCTCAAGATAAATATGCAAGTTAAAGTTATTACTTTGCTCAGCTGAGAGGTAATAATTAATAGCACAGAATAATACAGATAGATATTTTTCCAGCAAGCTGTACCTTGAGCTCAAACATAAAAAATATTTTATCTCAAGACTTTAGTTAAAAACAATTGAGGATATTTGAAAAGGAAGTCAGACTAACACTAATATCTAACTTGATGATATCCCTTCACATATAAAAATTCAGGCAAGAGGTATTCGAAAACTGTGGAATGATAATTTCCATATTCACTTGTTACTAGATAGCTATTAGGATGTAATGAATGACCTTACCTATGACATATGCCTAGCATTTAATTAAGCTCTGCAATAGTTATGTGTAGTTATGTATACTCAAAGGTTTGATTTCAAAAGCAAGTATGTGCTTCAATTTCCTTAGCAAAATATTTATAGAAAGCTTAAAATGTGTTTAGAAGTAACCAAAAGCTTTGTCCCAAGATCTAACCAGTTCATACACTGTAACTAATGCTTAACTCCACAATAAGGGATTTATCTTTCACTGCTCCACAAATTGCTTGTCTGTCAGATACTCCTCTAAATTTGAACATTCAGAT